TATTTTAAATCGTAGTGCATCTATTATGTTTCGTATTAGATTAATATTTATTTATTTCAAATGGCAGGCGTTTTGATAGCTATCATTAGCCATTTAGTTGACTTCGGGCTTCACAGAGGGAAGGTTCATCAAAGTAGAAGAAAGTCGATGGGTGGGGAACAGAAGAGCGATTCACAGATGTAAAAGAGGCAGACAGACACAAAAGTTGAGAAGAAGGTAAGATGATTACTGTGGAAGGGGTCAAATATGACAAGCAGACAGGCCACGGTAGTTTGAAGTGAGAAGTCAACTGCCGGTTAATTGACATTTTAGCCGTATGAGTATATGTTGCCCAGGATGCATCACGTGGAGGTAAGTCTATCGTACACTCCTATTAGATTAATATCCCGATAAATAACATTGAATTCAAGCAAAAGTAAGAAGAACTGTGTACAGCTTGTTTCTTAATTGCTAGTAGCATAGTCACTACCCATAAATAAATTTTAAACTTGCTCAAATATGTCACAAATAGTCTATTCGTTTTATAAGTGTTCGTAGTATTAATGAAGCATTCGCTAGATATATTCAAACTCACTTAATTCAAAGGTGACTATTTGCAATTTAAAAGTAAAATGAATTGCGCTTGTGAAGATATTTAAAGTTATAATGATACCTTTAAATGAGTGTATGTGGTAAAGCTTTCACTTGTTTGTGGAATTTCTATTGAAGACCTTAAAATCTTTCTTGCCTTTGAAGATTCAAGTAGATTAAGTCAAATGTTTGGACAGTTTTTTATTTATTCATTTCAAGGAGAAAATTTGATAAGATCATGTCGATAGGATGCAATATTTTTGTATCAATTTAAAATAAACCAATTAACTAGTACATTCGTACTTGGCATTTAACTGAAAGTTAAACGGATCAATAAATATCGTATTCGTTTTCGTTACTGACCCCACAATCTGAGGTCACATTGTGCTTTTTATAAAAATAAAATAATCTTTAAAGTATAATTGACCTGTTACAAACTTAAATGCATTTAAAGGCGATTAATTGAATGTCACTTACCCAGTTCTCCTTCTATTATCATTTTGTTATAGATGCGCTGCATATGTTCCATACATTGTTGACTATTCTTTCATTCGTCGGAAAAATTCAAACTTTTTCGTGAAAAATAGTGCACAGATTAAAATATTTACATTCAGTTGAATGGAAAAGAGGCCAAACTTGCAGAAGTCGTAGAGAGATTTTTGACATGAGGTGGCATTTGTCATAGTTATTTATTTGCCCAAGCTTCATTCCTTAAAATTGAATAATCATGAACAACTATAACCATTACATATTTTATTTCTTGCTTATTTTGATGGCGAAAATATATAAACGACCAATTCCTCAGTAGAGTAAACAAATAGAATTCTCAATACAAAGGGAAGAGCCAAACACGCTTGATTAACTATTTCTTTTGCAAACAATTTTTTACCCTTATAGAAACCGAATGTTTACTTTAATATAAGGAAAGGCAGTCTGCAAATACTGAATAAAATAAAAAGAACGCAACCTTGTTTGAGTAATTTCAAAAAAAGGAAAAACTTCTTTGCTTTCAATACTTTATTTTATCTACTTGCTTCTATTTAATCGCTAATAATGCCCTTTATAAAAATAATTTTGGTTCAAACATTACAGACGGCAGAATGACAATTAATTTCTTTCCTCCTTCAAGTTTTGTGGAAGGAAAGGATTGGCCTTTAATAAACTTTAAACATTAATTGTCAATTTTGGCAAATTACGTTTGGAATATGTAGAATAATTAAATAAACACCTGGCAAAACAAATCATTTTTAAGGGAGGGGGAGTGTCAGGCAGAGAAGGGTGATCGACTAATCGATTCCTATTATTATTAATAAATTATATGAAATCATGCATAAAAATTTGTGAAGAAGAATGTAAATAATACAGTAATATCTATTTAAATTACCCCCAAAATAGTGATCTATTCTATTTTTAACGTTCTGATGATTTTTAGCAGAAATTGTTATTTAAATAAATGATGACCCGTTTGTCAACCACTTAACTATATTGAAAACCTTAAGGGGGTATTCTGGTCTAGAGACATAAATTTAAAGTCATTTATGAAGTGCTGTAAAAAACAATTTTATATACATTATTTATTCACCACAGAATCATACAAAAAATAAAAACATAGAAAAGTTTAAAATTCTGTTATATATATATATTTATATATATAGATAAATATAACGGAGCAAAAGGGCTTACTAAGAGATATAGATTCAGGTAGTTGGAGAACTCATTATGTCTTTTGTTCGATTGTTTGCAACCCAACCGATTTGGTTGTCTGCTCAGCAAAATACTTATATCTCCGAAACTAATTTGAATTTTGGAAAATTCTCTCGTAGACATATTCTTGAATAGTTAAACTATGAAAATATGGAAGAAAAAAATTTCGAAAATTTTTTTTATAGAATTTTTTTTGTTCCTTCAACTTAAACTACTCTAACTTTTCCAGTTTTGGGGAATAATATTAATTGATCCTCCTGCTGGTAAAACGATAAACAGCTTTATATCAATTATAGAATTAAAAAATATTGCAATATACTAGGAAAGCTTGAATAATCTCTGTTAACTTTCACATAGATTGACTTATTTTGCGTCAATTTTAAATCAGAATCGATTTTGAAGCAGTTGGCTTAAACATCTATTCCATCAATGGAACTAATGATCTATTTATAATCGGCTTACTTTCGAACTTTGAATTATATATAAAATCAGTGATGCGAAAAGTAAATGAAATAATTTTTGAAATTCTAGTTCGAATTTAGTGTGCTAAGAAATAACGACCTAGAAGGTAATAAATTAGCAATTTTGTCTCGTCTAACGTTATAAAATCAACTGAAATATTTCATTTAAGCCAAATGTTAGGTAAGCTCGAAATTGAACAAATTCAAAAAATTTATGATTATACTTTTGCAATCGGTTAAAAATTTTGAAGCCAATTACAAATATCTAAATTTTATAATTTGAGTTTTCGTTTCATTCATCTAAAATATCGATTTTTTTATATGATTACGCTGTAGTAAATTATTTTTTAAAGTGCCATCTCACCGATCAAAACCATTGTTGCCTAAAATCAAAGCGTAAAACTTCTGTTATTAATAAAAAATGCTTTTCTTCATATCGATAATTAATTAAAGAACTAAAATCAATATAAGATCAAGATTAATAGAAAGTCTGGCAAAATATCAGAGGGAAGGTTTAGGGAGATACTAAGATCAAACGTCAAGATAAAAATTATCTTTATAAACTTGTTTTTAATGTATCTTCGAAAAAAACTTTCACGAATCGTTCTGTTGGAGGACATTTTTTAATCGAACGAGTTAGTTCTCAAATTTTTGTCCAATGGTTGGGTAGGCCAATGTGTTCTTAATAGATATTCGGTTGCTTTCAGTCTTAAGATGGTAGAAGTGATCTTACTAAAATTTTTAGCCAGCAGATCTCCGTAAAGTCTTATTCTTAATTAAGTTAACAATTTAAAAGCCTTGTTATAAGTCCAAGTTAATATTAAAAACCATCCTTTATAGAGCCTTTTCTCTACCCAAATAAAGAATGCTCATTATAATAAACCCTATTTAGGGGCTAATTATTTCCTTTTTAGATTTGACTGTAAGGAATCTTTCTTGCCACAAAGTGGTTTTTGAGTGGGTTTATATCATGGGAGATTAAATTGCTGCATTATCCAAATGATTGAATGGAAAATAAATCCCGAATGATTCGGCATTTGTTAGAATTTCATTACTACCTAACTTGTTGTCCAACATTTTTCTTACTGCGAGTGGAGACGCTTGTCATTTCAGCTGTTGGGCCTCCCAAAATCCACGTATTTGGAGGTGTGTGTGTGTGTGCTGATTGAAGCGCCTTAGCAGCTGATGAATCACTTCCCTCCTCCAGTGAAAGAAAACAAAGTATGCCCAATGAATTTTGCTGCTTTTCTACTGCAATGGATCACCTTCTTAACTAAACTACACAAAATAAAGATCTATACAAGTATTTGCCCATCTTATTTTAAGCACCAAATATGGCTGACTTTAACACCTTAAAATGAGTTTTTCACTGCCAACCGTAATGTTATACTTGAAATCTGTATATAAAAAAAACCAACTTAAATTGATCAACAGAAAACCCAAAATTTGGCAGTGTGTGACGATCAATAGGGCATTGGACTAACACGTCAGGGAAACAAGAAATCTTGCTTCCTTTTATTTGTGGATTCAGAATTTTAAAAGTTTTCTTTTTCAAAAGCTTAAGTTCCAAAATTCAAACTTCCCTATTAAATTATATATTAAAATAAATCTGAAAACGGTCCGATGCTATTAATCACAAAATGAAAAAATAATAGATATTGATATAAGGTAAATATTAAGTCCATACAAACCTTCTCATTTAAATCTAAAAAGCATATGATATTTGGAAGCAAAAAATTATGCTTCATCTTAGAACCTCTTTTTTGGAAAAAATTAAATAAAAACTTTTGAACTTTAATTTTTTTAATCATTTCATATACATCACTCTCGTCTAAAGGAATTAAATCTTAAGCATGTTAAGATATTTTTAAGAAAATGAATAATTGAGGCAATTTTATTTAAATATTCCGTATTTATTCAAGCCATTAATTGCTTTTGGGGTTCTTTATCCTACAATTTTATATTTAATAGCCAATACGGACGCCAAAGCAACTAAGAAAAAGCCATTCTGGAGATTATCTAAGAACAAAAATAGGAATTCAGTAGAAATATCCAAAGTTGACGGATCAGCTGAAACGCCTGTGCCACCGAATGCAACATCGCCAGTTGGTGAAAATCTGCGTAGTCTCTTCATGGATGATACCGTGATAGGACGTAGACGAAGTAGTCTGAGTGATCAAGCTAATGGTGTTAATGGAATATATCCAGATAGTGGGTTTTCTCATGGAAGATCAAATCGCGAATGCCGATCAATGTGTATCCCCTCAGGAGAGGAGAGAATCTTTCTAAAGGAAATTAAAAATGCTGGAATGTCCATGCAGCTCAAAAGTAAGTTAAAATGGCGTACTACTAAATTTCAACTAAGTAGAAACTGATATACAAAATAGAAAATAGTGTTAGAATATCCTAAAATGATTAAAAGAGCTTCCTTTAAGATATATGATCTCCTTTTGCAATTATTTCAAATTCCAATACGCTTTAACATTAACGCTAGAACTGAATGAACTCTATAAAGCTCGTTCATTCTTTAAATAGGTCATACAATTTGAAAAAAATTAGTTAAATGGTGTTTCTTAATGGTAAAAGGCCGACTCATAAACTATAAATCTCTTATTGATGATGTCTTGCAGCAATATTTCAGAATAAAAATAGTCGATTGCCTTTAATTACTTAACTTTAGTAAAATTGAAGCGATTTTAATCTAAATTTGTTCTGTATTCGCTGATGTTTGATTGGAATGTTTCGTAAAATGTAGCTATTTTGGGAAAATATATGCATATATATAGCTTTCAGTGAATACGAATCAAGCCTTTTAGGTTCTATTTCTGAACCAACAACAATCTTAACCATTTGTTATTTTTATTACTTTACTATAGAAAGGATCTAATAACACCGATGTCAGCTTACTTTAAGTTCTTCTCACACCACCTATTCTAAAGTAATTCCAAATCAATCATCAATCGACTGAATTTGTTTTCAAATTCTACATTATACTCATGAAACGGTGTAGCCATTACCACACTAAGCAAACCAAGTAAAGAAAAAGGGTTGACGCGCTCTTTCTCCCTATGAGCTCCTCTACCTAACGTCATTGAAGGATCCTTTTGGGTTTCAGGTGCTTTCAAAAATTGAAGGAAGTTAAGATATTCCACATTACTAATGCCATAATATTGCGATATTTTTTTGGGTAATCCCAACTAAAATAGAGAAATTTCCATTTAATTTACTGATGAAATTGTATACTTTCATCAAGTTATTTTGTTATTTTGAAATGATGAAAGGTTTGAAGTTCCACCCATTTATAGCAAATTTCTTAAGGAAATTAGGCAGTTTATAACCACAATGAATGCTGTTTCCACTTTTGCCCGCGTACTCTTTGCTATTCCTGGATTGGTCAAAAAATGTGCCACCTTAAATGGAGTGTGAATGAAATGTTAGTTTTTCCTTTTTTTTCGAAATAAAAATTAGGCGTCACAATTATAATGATTCTATAGGGGATTAACCCCCATTTAAAATTTGTTTATAGAAGCTGTGCTTCGTTGACTTTAACTGCCAACCCAATAGCACTTTTAAGTGTATTTTAAAGGGGGGTTGGATAAATATGCCGCATTTAGTTTTAAATTTATTGCATGCCCTCCAATTCGGTCTTTTAATTTTAGCATGCTTTCTTAACTTCACAGTATGCACCAATCAAGTGCCTAAATTAATCAAAATAATTTATAAATTCACAGGGGGAAGTAAATGAGTGCTGACTATCTTCTAGATGTTTACGTTACGAAAGAGGCGTCTAAATAAACCCGAGTTTACTGGAGTACTGGGTACTACTCCGAAGATCAGGCGAGAATGCATTTTAATAGGGTAAAGATTGCGATGTGATGCCCTACGTTAAAATAAAATGATGTAGTTGTTTAACGTTTCTCATTTTTCACTTAATTATATCACTTGGAACTCCTTAATAGGGTCTAGAAGTTTGATGGCTTTGTCGTCCATCTAAACTTCTGTATCTCTACAGAAACACCATTGTTTTAGTTTTCAAATAACCGATTTACAAACATTATGGACATGCTTATTATTTTGACGTTGCGAATAGTTGGATGCAAAAGGATATTTAAAGACTACCAAATCTTTGTTTTAATGCATTTATCTGAAGCATCAGGTGCGGTTATTATTTACTGCCCTATTCAAGGCATATGTAATGCCCTTAATATTGATTTATTTCAAATGGCCGCCGTTTTCATAGTTATCATTAGCCCTTTAACTGATTTCGAGTTTAACAGGGGGGGGGGGGGGGGAACATCAACGTGAAAAAAAGTCGAGAATGGGGGGGGGGTAGAATAGAAGATTGTTTAAAGCTGTAAAAAAGGCAGACACAAAGTTAGAGAAAAAGGTGAGGTGAGCACTGTGAAAGTGGTCGAATAAGACATTCAGCGGGGCGATGGTAGTTTGAATTCGAAAGTCAACTGCCAGTTTATAGGCTTTTTGCCGTATGAGTATACTCGCCCAGGGTGCACCAAGTGGAGGTAAGTCTATCACATGGCCCATGCCCTTAATATTGAAGTAATTCTATTTATCTATTAGTGAATCATCCGATTTCCTTTGACATTTAACAATAACTCAATTAAATTCAATATCAAATGTGGTGTAATAAGGTATCTCATTTTTCTCCCTCGTTGTTTTCTATTTTCGAAAACTAATATCGAGTGCCTCAAAACCGAATCATTATACCCCATTTGTCTGCACTTGACAAGAAAATTAGTCACTGTTCTTCTGAAATCCTATAAGTGTCAACCAAATAGGTCAATTCCATAATTCATTGCCAGTATCTTCCATGTTTTCTCTCAGTTATTGGGAAAACAATTTCCCAATTGTGCAGCCAAATAACGCCTTCTAGCACACTTTGATGGGTGGAAACAATTTTTCTGAAAGACATTAATAGACATCGAAGCCATATTAAATTAATTAGCAGAAAGTTATTGGAGCTTGCGAAGATACCGTCACTGAAGGTAGACAAGGTAGTTCAGCGTCTTGAGGTAGGGAGGTACAGCGCAATCCGATATTGATGAAAAAAGGCGCGAAATCTAAATTCAGTTTCAAGTTTTGCGCTCAATATTGGTAGAGGAAAATTTATTGCTTAATGTTTTAATGTCAGCATTTTTGGTCTGTTCATATTTTTGGTGAATTCCTCTTTTCGTGGTAACCTTCAAATTGACTTAGAAGTCGGTTCCGCACGGTCAATCTCACTTCAGATAAATATTTCCGCTTTAATGGCCAAAGCACTTCATTTTATGCTTCAATATGAAGCCCTACGTCTATGTTTATCTTTTTAGTCAATTTTACCACCTCTGAATTTTGGGGGCTTGTTCCAAAATTAGGAATTGTCGCTCGTCTTGCTCTAACCTGGTACATAATACTCTATTATCCATTTATAACACATAAACTAAATGAAATGTGATTTCTCACAAAACTGAAGGTTTTCTGATGATGATGTTGAAGAAGAGGGGGAGAAATTTATACTTTAAATCCAATCATTTGAATTCTACAATCAGCATTCAGGAAGCTTGTTGTGCATTAGGAAGCTATAATAGTTATATTGAGGAATTTTCAACGCAATAGCACTGATTCCAATGTTATTTTCCAAACTGCAAAACTGAAATTCCCAAGCAGAGCAAATGCGTGGGGAAGTGCCACTTGCACTTGCGCACCTCATTCAACCAATGAGCGAGTAAACTTCGACCAATCAGCCCGCAGATTGGCCACTAGGATAGTGGATAAACGCTTGCCAAGGGCAGCCGTGCATCCGGATACGTCAAGGCCAAAGAAACAGTAAGAGAAAAAAGAATGCGTTAATTTTTACGGTATATTTCAGTGGAAGCTGTGCGTGTGTTTAAATTCGTCAGTTAATGATGAAGCCCCTTTCAAAAGTGACTCAAGTGCACTACACTCATAAACTAATTACATCTCGTTAAAGAAAGTCGGTCTCTCCTTAAGGGGGCAGTTATTTCCGTACTCAAATTTCTCCTTCTTTAAGGCAAGTTTTCCTTCTCTCTATAACACTCAGCACTAGCCTTTTATTTAAACAGTGTTTCTATTGGTTGTTATATGTACTTAAAAAAGTCAATTCACCTCATAGTTTATTAATTGATTTATGTAAAAATGGTCTTTCACAATAAATTAATTCATTTCAATTTTAATCGCTCGCATTTAACGTACCGGGAGTTATCTCTCTCGAATACTCCAACTGTTATTTTTATTCCGATTTATTTGAACGAGGATTAAAGAGATCTTTTTTATCCGATATCTATTTATCCCCCATCCAAATAGCTCAATTTTGTTGAAATCACCTTGCGGTAGGTCGGACTTTAACTACGAATTTGGCTTATCATAATTGTTAGAAATACCTTCTGAGAAAAAGAACTGATGTCATTAAAAAGCATCTGGCTTAAAATCAGTCATCCTTTTCATTTCATTTAATTGAATAGTGAAAGGATCCATTGTTCTCGTCTTTTGTTTGGCTGATTCCCCGACTGAATATTATTCGCAGTTAGACAAAACATAGCAATCATGATTTATGCTTGCTCCTAAACGTCGAGGTTTCAGAACACATAGACTGACCATAAAAGCTAGGAAAATCGCTTAGATCAGGATTATTGAAGGTAATTTGTGTTTAATTGTAGTAATCGAACCCATTTCACTTGCATTGATTGAAGGACACATAGGATATTTGAAGCTAACTTCCACTTTTACCCCAACAATTTCCATTTTAGTATAATTTTTGCCGTACCTTCTCTCACTTTAGCTCACGATATCCACGTTTGGTGCCAAAATCAACTCTACCGCGTTAATCGAATCTTTAGAGAAAATCAAACTGACGAAGTAGAGTTCTTGAAGAAACTCTTTCAAATTTTCCTGCCAAAGGAACCTTTACCCGTAGACATCACAAGTGTTTTTCAAGTTTTGGACGAACAACAAAAGGCATTCCGACCCATTCGTAACAACGAGTAAGATTATTCTTTAACTAAAAATTACCTCCTCCCACTCCTCCACTTATTCTATGTGCGGCTGCAATAAATGCCCTTTTGTTAAATAAAAATGCGCCTCTTTAACCTTCCCGGTTAAGCCTTAAGAGCATTAGTCTCAACTCGTCAGCTGATGAAGTAATAAGTAAACCCAAGTAATGAGTGGTAGTACTCCAAGTTCTACTTGAAGTCATATCCTTTAAAAATTGTAAGGAAGTAAAGAACTAATTTCTATTTCACGAATCCATTTGGAAGGAACATTTTAGCTATGCTTTCGCAAGCAGATTGCCCAATTATATCATACAAACCCTGGAGGTAAACTTTTCGGACAATTTTTGATGGTTGTTGCATGAATCAGGCCATTAATCATTCGAACAAGGCATTTAGGAACCAATATTTTCGCCCCATCTTGCAAGCTTATGCGTCTGGGATCATTACAAGTATTGGCTTCACAAATTATCAATACAATTCAACCAAATATAATCGAAATATTTTGATTGGTGATTAACTGGATTAATGAGTCCTGATATACTCTTGGCAAGACCAGATAACTCTATTTTACCTCCTCCCCCCCCCCTGAAACGAATCATTCCCCTTTTTGTTACAAATAATGATTTGATGAAATAATAGCACATTTTACCATTTTAGACTATTTCCAAATGGTTCCCTGCTGAAATTGATAATCAACAAAAATACAAATCCCCGGTTGGGAATTATTGAATCATGTACTTTCTCTCAACAAAACAGCAATACCAGTTCTCCTTCGATTCACTCAAATAACCAATTGCCCGATTATTTGGCCGCCCCGCTACTTGCTCGAAAATATCACACCACCATCTCCACCACCTCAGCAACACCAATCGCTGCAGTGCTCGAGAAACAGGTTATTTTCACTCCTACCCGTTTAGAATTAATGCTAAATTGCCTCTTTCTTTATTCATCCCTAAAACAGCAAGGAAAAAATCGAGAATTAGTTTTTTCCCACCTATCGCATCTTTTTCCCGAAGAGTGAAGTAGATAGGAGTGAGGAAGGCTGCAAAGGCTCTACTATATTTATAATGCCAAAGCGGAATGAACTGGTTTGTCAAAGCCAGTCTTTGTTATCAACACATAGTTAAAGTTCATTGGAAGAGCGTGTAAACAGCACCAGAGTTAGGTGGAGATTTTGCACTCTGAAGTCGCATGGCTATGAAAAACTGCAATCTACCTCAACTCTTGTTGACCGTATTTCGTTTAAGCTTTCTTTGTCTCCTTATTTAATGAACTCTAGCGTTGTCCTCGGGGTCAAAATGAATAATCGATAGAAATAATTGGTATCAATAGCACTTCATTGGACGAAGTCTTTATGAGAATCTCACATTCTCCTTCTAATTTTCCGTAGACAATGGCTAACTAGTGACAAATGCAAAATTCTATCTCGAGAGATTAAATAAGTCCTATCACTGATTTTCTACCGGAGAAAAAATTTGCTAAATTTCAAGTTTTTTAGCAACTATTTTCTACGATAGTTGTAGTGACAGAAATAGCTATTGACACTCAATCTCAAAATATAGTTGCCCTGAAGTAAATTACGCAGCATAACGATAAGTCTCATTATTTTATTGAGGTGATTACTAAACATTTGAATAGTAATTGATTAGTGATATATGGGTGGTTTTAGAACCCAATGTACAATGGCTATGATGAAAATGTCTGAAACGATAAATAGTAATAAATGTCATATCAACCCGAAAGAACTAATTACTAAAGCAATTTGTCAACTCTCTAGTTGTCAATGTCTTTCCAGTCGTTTAGATGATTTTGGACAGGAAATTGTGTTTTCAAAACATGCAATTCCAATAATGTGATATAGTGGACATAGCATGATCTCAGCTCCAAGAGACTTAATTGTGCTTTAATTTGTTTTAGTAAGCTTCATTCAAACGCGATTTACACCTCAGTTAAACAAAATAAACGCTCGTTTAAGGCTGACTACACTCCTCTATCAAAGTATTAAAAATCATTCCATTTATTCAAAGTTGAGGAATTTCCCAGTTTTATTGACAAGAAGTAAAATTGAGCAAGGTATAAATGACATGAATAAATAAATTTAAATTATCTTTATCTTTAACGTATTCTGGATTTCCATTTTATCCGTTTGCAAATTGCTGTTGTGTGTCCTGCAAGCCTAAGGCCATTTTCTCCCATTTTAATAACAGCTGTTATGGGGGCACAATTAAGCGTACTTGACCTTGTTTTTAATTGCATTTCTCGTCAATTGCTCTGACAGGAAATACCCGAAGACGTTGCAATTTCAAATCAGTCCTCATCTCCAGGGAGCATGCATTCACAGACACCTGGTGGGACTCCCACTCGTCTACCCATACATTCGACTCTAATTCCAGCTACCATGCAAGTGGGTGCAAATGGGGAGCGCCATTTACTTCTCCACTATCCTGATGGGCATACAGTGGCTGCGACGGCACTACCCAATCAGTCTGGTCAATTCCATCTTGTTCCAATGATTTCCAATCATCAAGCAATCCCACAGGCTACACAGGCTCAGGTCCCCCAACCTCCACCAATGCTGAGATTGGTACAGACTGCTACTGATTTGCCTCATTCTAGGCGACAGAGCAATGGTGAATCTCATATGCATCTTGTGAAAAATAAAGCCGGGCAGAAAGTGAAATTGGTCTGTACCTGCCCTCCTGAATTGCATCAAAGTGAGTACTAATGCCTATTGAGATATTGAAACTCGTAGTTAATGTTACAAATTAATTAAATTGCTCGTCAAATGGGAAATACTACTTTAAAGGTTGAAATTACTTCTAAGTAACTTTTCAAACGTGCCTCAAATTGCATCGGTTGTGATAAGCGAGTAATTGATCATAGACACTAACATCTTTCAATGGGTGAAGCAGGCGAATAAGGTAAAAATCGATAATTTGTTTAAAGTACAAAATGTTAAGAGCCATTCACCCTTTCTGACGACGAAAAATATTCGTTCACTAAATCGCGTTTATTAGTGGAATTTCGAGATGCTTCACGTGTTTTATACTCTATTACCTTTGAAGATTTCATTTGATTTTGGTAAATCAATGACGTCTATCAATGCTCCTATTTTATTTCTAACATTGCAGAGTATAAATACATTTTAAGCAACCGATTCAATCAGGCTGTTTGTTTGAAGTAACTTATATATTTCTACATTTGAATGTTCCTGATTGAAATTGCAGGGTTTGATTTCAGGACGCCCAAGTGAGTTCAGATCCAGGGTATTCAGAGCCCCTTGGAGAAGTATTTGTAAACATTGACCATATTTTAACTCCACTAATAATGAGCATTTTTTTCATCAGTTTAGCCTTTAATCAAATTTTCACGAATTTCCCCCCTAGGATCTTAGTGTACTTCACTTAGCAAGTTAAAACAAATTTCAATGGAACTTATTTCCTTTTTTCACCAATCTCATGACTGTTTCTCTTAGGTCAATTTGCGCAGTCAGTAGTCGGGCTGATTTTTAACTAAAAAAATTAGTCCTTTTCAATGGGGTATGGGGGAGGGGAGGGGAGAGGAGGATTATTGAAATCTGCTTAAAACATGCTCGAAATCAACCGCAGATTAGATAAGCTTCGACTAAAATCCTGAAAACTTACGCTGGACTTTGAAAGAGGACAGGGTTTATTCTGTAAACTAACGAAGTGCAAACCTCACAGATTTAATAAACCGTAAATCTCCTTCTTCCTCTCTAACACATTGTATGATGGGAGTCAAAGTTGCTTTTTTTAATCTCAAAACGTTTTCCCTTTCCACACCCTCAAAAAGCATCTTTTAATGCTCTTTTAAACTGAAATTGGCGCGAGTAATTTAGAAGGTTGAAATGATTTTTTTATAAGCAGCACCAAGTAAAACACCGTCTTGTAACTGCAAAAAAAGTGGTTAGATAAAATGCAAAGGTAACGCATACTTTAATAGTTGTGTTATTATTACTAATATGCGTCTGGTGACAGTTGAAGTACTAACATAGATTTTTTAAGGAGCAATAATCGTTGTGTATTTTGTCTCAATTTTTTAATTTTTTACGATAACTAGGCTTAACTTTACCACTGAATCATTTCTACACTTCCACTTCCAAGTTCGAAGTAACCACATATATGTTTTCTCTCTTTCTCTCTGTGGAAAGCTATAGTGGAATTCATTCATTATTCTTATAGTTAAATAACACGAAAGAATAGATAGCTTAAGGAGTATGGTTTCAAATTCTCACCTTCAAGTAGTCCAATCAGAATTGTCAACGCAATATTGACACGTCACTTATTTTGAATATTGGTGTCATCCCTTCAATTTTGGATATTATTTGAATGTTTCTTTTCCTATCCTTCATTTACTAAGACACTTTTTATCCAACTGGTAATGTCATGATTTTGGCATTCTAGTCATTAATTAACCATTTCTGTCCATCTCTAATCCATCAAATAAAAATTGACTAATTTCTGTCAAATCAACCAAATAGAATTACGTTTTTCTTCTATTCTATAGCCATTCGTCAAGCACAAATTGATGGATCCAATCCCAACAGTCACCTAGCGGAGGATGAATCTGCAAGAAAAAACAAAGTTTCAACAAGAAATTATCAAGAATGGGTTAATTCAATTCCAATAATCGATCAGCACAATATTCCAAGTGGCGAGAGCAGTGAAACCTTTCAAGAATCCGATTCCTCAGGGGGGAGTAGTTATGGAAATACCTTCTCCAATTACCGACAGAAAGTGATTCTACCGGATACCCTCCTCAAATCAGTGCTCAATGATCAAGCTAAAAGAAACTCAAAACCACCTCAAACACTTGAGGAAGCCCAGTACGTTTCCGCTCAATAACCTAAATCCTCCATTTTCTTTTGTATTTGCATTCAAATGGTTTTATGACACTAGCGTGTGCTTACATGCCCATTTAATTGTGTCTGTTATTATAATTGGTTATTTGATCACCTTCTCTCCGATCGCTCTTTGATATTACTAGGCTTCGAATTGCTCAAATGGAAAACCAACTAACCCAACTTACGTCATGGTTTCGAACTATACATACTCAGGGTGGAATGGAATTTTGCACTTCTGGACAAATATGTACGTTTTGTTTTTGTTGCCTTAGTTACTAGGTTGTAGTTAAACAATGTTAAAACATAAACTGCTCGACTTATATTTCTGTGTGCGCTTTTCAAGCCTAACTGACAAATCATTAGGTTTTACTATCCTATTTGTATTTTTTTTATTTTAAAAAATTATCTTGGTGGTAAAAATGGCACTTAACTGAGGCCAAATTTGAATCCTGCCGTTTAGGAAAATTGCATTGAATATATTTGGAGATACAGTATATCGGCAAATAACTGATAAATATTTTTTTAAGAAATCAGTACATCAGAATCTAACATGTATTCATCCCAATTTGAAGCAAAAAGGAAAATATTTTATTGTAAATAAAATGTTTGCATTAAAGAGATTGTGTGTTATTAAGACAATAGGTTAATTTGACCTTTGAACTATTTGAGTAGCCTATTTGAAATTACGTGTTTAATTTTTATCTTTAATGAAAACAGAAGCCTTTTATGCCACTGTTTTCTCCATGAAATTTGTTCTCTTCAAAATCCCCCCCCCCTTCCACCCTCCAACTCCAAAAAAGGCTTCAAAAATGTCATTTTATGTGTCATTTTCACCAGATTTTTCCCCTAAGTTTGGACAGCAGGAAAATAATCATAAAGTCAATATTAAATGTGCTCCAATATCAATATAAGGTGTGCATTGCGGTTAAAAATGGGCTAAAGAAAATTCAATTTGTTCAGTTCTATTTCCTCCTCCCCAAATTATTTATTTATTTCAAATGGCAGGCTTTATGATATTTATCATTAGCCCTTAATCTTTGACTTCAGCTTCCCCCCAAGGGTGGGGGGTACATTTATAGCAGTTAATTAATAGCAGTTCATTAGCCGTCTTCTTGCTTCCCAGTATCTCTGGCTTTCCGTACTTGTCTTTAGGGCTGGACATCGAATCAGGTGGGTCTTCTCCATTTCCTCCTATAGGTTACATAGAGGGCATGTGGGTTGAGTGTATACTCCCAATCTGTAAAGATGTTTTGCCAAACAATCGTGTCCGGTACGTAGTCTAAATTCAGCAACGGCTTCGATTCTTGGCCAGTCGGCTATATCGGAGAGTGACACTGTCCACTGTTTCTCCTTTGTTCGAGCTTTGCGTTCGTTGCACCTTGAAGTATGGAATTCTCTCCTGATTAAGGCCTTCATTGTGTGGAAAGACATCAGCCGGTCCATGCATTGCAAAATCGTTATCCCATTCTTAGCAAGTGTGTCAGCAATCTCATTGCCTTTAATGCCACAGTGATCAGGAATCCATTGTAGGACCACTGTTTTGTTTTTCTCTCTCAGTAGCTGATAGAGT